GACAGAGCAACTTTTATCCCCAGTAATGCCAGATCTCCTCATGATGAAGCTTTCCCCAATCTCATCCATTATTGCCCTCTTTATCTCTCCCATCTGCAGGGTTTTTTTCGATACACAGTATATATGAATCATACGTGTCCTAAACGTGAACATGATCTGAGAGATTAAAAAACTGCCTGACAGCTGTGTGTTCCACGTGTATGTGTTTTAATGAAGCACCTGCATATTTACAGATGTTAGCATCTGCTGCAAGTGCCCTGGTTTGGAGGTTTAATTTTAGAGGAGCAGCCAGATGGTGGACAAGAGGATTACTATGCTAAGCCTTTGTCATCTGCTGCTACACAGTGACTGTTTATAGACAAATACAAGGTGGACCCCCACTGGTCACTGTAGTCTGGTCAGAGCTGCTGAGGGTGTGGATGACAAATAGTAAATTTAGTAACTTTTGGCCTAATTAATATCAGCAGTGAGGGGTTGTGGACAAAACTTTACGCCAACATTGCCTCGTGCTGATTTTAGATGCTGCTTACAATCTATCTTGGCTGCTGCTCGAGTTAATAGGCCCCTAAAGCTAAATAATTGTTACCTTTAGATAATTACCTGACTAAAAAAAATAATTTATTTAATAACTTATTAGACCACAGTGTCATAACAGGATGTATTACTATATAAATTATATTATCATAGAGCCCAAAAATACAAACATGCATTTGACCAAAATTTTACATTGGATATGCATCCTGTCATTTTTGTTAATGAAGACAAAAATCATAACATTATTTTTTACTCCTTAAAAGCATGTGTTACTGATAACATTAACAGACATGCACAATATCAGGACCTGGAAACCATCATTAACTGTATTACTCAATAATAATAAGGCTTTTCCTACAGTGACTATATCAAGAACCAGATCACCTTCAAGATCACTTCACAACTGAAAACCAAATGATTCACAAAAAAACAACAACAGCAACATGTGACAAAAACACATAAATTTTGACTTGTTTATTGAGTGGTTCCATTGTTGAAATTACTGTACATCTTCTCAGAAATATATGAACTAGTGCCAACCTCATTAACCGATCACAGAAGTGCAATATCAGTGTATAGTGGAGCAAGTGTGTTCCTACAGCATTTATTGTACTGAGTCTGGACCAGTCTGTAGTTGACATATGTATTCTTTTGCATATACCAGATATTCTTCAGCTCTAATTCTCATTTATAACAGAAATAAATATAAAACATAAAGAACACAAAGGACATCTGAGGCAGGCGAAATTATGCTGACAGATTTAACCCATCTGTAACCCCCAGGATAAACCAGATACTTCCACAATCAAGATGAGAACTCTCATTTTGTAATTTCTCATTTTGTGCAATCCTGTTCTTTGCAAACTTACAAAGCATTCATGTTTATTTACCAGATATGTGCAACTTCACTATAACACCTGGCATAGGCTGCTAGTAATGAAACATGATTTTGTTTAGCTCTGTAGAAGGAAAAACTGAAGTCAGAATGCTGATGTTTACTTCTTTCTGCCGCCGCCGTTTGACAGAATCATCACCAGTCTCATGAAGATGTTCAGGGTGTCCATGTAAATCCCCATACACCTGCCAGATTAAAAAGAATTTTAGTTTTTATACCTTGGTGCAAGTACATAACTAACATTACAGTCTGAGAGCTTTAGAGTAGAGTGACTTACGAGTTAATGGGGTCATATTTCTGTACGCCATAGAGCGGGTATGTCTCTGCCCTCTTGATGACCTTCTGTGTATCGTACAGGAGGAACATGCTGAACAGGACCAGACCACCATAGATGGCCACGGAGTACAGGCCAGCTCCGAATGCTGAGGTTGGCGGCAGGAACATTGATCCTAAAGAATACAGGAACATTCAGGTACGGTTGTTGATTCAAAGTGATAGATCTAAACAATTATTGACCATTTATCTAATTATAATATGCATCTAGCTTTCTAAAGTTTCTATAAAAATTACTGACATGTTAAGCTGCCAACATTGTGCACTTGTTCAGAAATCAAGCCATCACAGAAATGGTATTCCATGACTGTCATGTTTCTGTTCTCAACTGCTGCCAAATTAATTTTATAAAGTTAATTAATAAAAAAACTTTTCTTATGTCAAGGTGTATATGGTTAAATAGTGTTAAAATCATGTAAATTAAACAGTGTGAAGAAATGCAAAGTTTTGTTACATGGGAAAGTCTAACTGACAGTCTTTACATCTTTTATGTTTGTATTT